AAGAGTACAATGTGGGAAATTTCATGACTGCTGAAGATGAGGAATAAAGATGAAAGATCAAGGCTCGACTTTCTAACAAGAAGGTGGATAGTAGAAGCAACAAGAAAATCGGACATTGGGTTAGCCACAGCAGTTATCACAGGCTGAGTAGCTTGCACAGCACACATTTATATTCTGATTTTAGAGTCTCAGATTTAAGGTCATAGTGGTGACATGTTCATTCTCTGTCCATTCATGCCCTATCGATGGCCACTGTGCTGGCTAGTTTTATGTCAACTTGAAACAGCTATAGCCATGTGGGAGAAGGGCACATCAGTTGAGAAAATGCCTGCAGAAGATCGGACTGTACATAGACAAGCCTGGAGAGCATTTTTTAAATTAGTGACTGATGTTGGAGAGACTTGCCCATTTTAGATAATGACACCCTTAGCTGGTGGATCTGGGTTCTCTTAGAAAGCAGGCTGAGCAAGCCATGAGGAACAAGCCAATAAGCAGCACCTTCCATGGCCTCTGCATCAGCTCCTGCCTCCAGATGCCTGCCCTATTTGAGTTCCTGCCCTGGCTTCTCTCCATGGACTCTGATTCTGCATGTCAGTCAAATAAAACCCTTTGCTCCCCAAGTTGCTTTTGGTTATAGAGTTTCATCACAGCAATGGTAACAACTAAGAGATCTACCTTCTCTCTACTTCTTCACATGACCCTGAGAAAGAAGATGTACTTCTGGTATCTCTTCATAGTCTCACTCACTCTCCTGCACCTCATGTAGCTCAAGATACTCGCACAGACCCTGACCCCAAACACAGCCATGTCACATAAAGGTTAGGGGTTCAACATATGGAGTCTGGGGAGAAGAGGGAAGTTCTATGATCAGAATCCAGACTAATATGGTCTTTAATCTAATATGAGAGTCTAGTTCTTTTTTTAAGATGATAAATTATTTCAGATGTATGGAACGAGAGGTAAATCATGTGAAACTGTTGACAATGTGACGTAAAACATAGGAAAGAGAGTATTTGGGGGATGGACAAATGCTCAGCAGTTAACAGCAAGTGCTGCTTTTCCAGAGGACCCACGTTAGGTCCCCAGTTCCTCCATTGAGCATTTCGCAAACTGTAATTCCAGCCCCAGAGAATCTGAAACCTCTTGGGTATCCACACACATGGGGTATGGTTACACACATACACATAAATAAGAATAAATCTTCAAAAGAGGCGACTTGGTGACAGGAGCACTCTCAAGACTCAGATTGGGAGGAGGTGAGGAGACTTTCAAGAGAGGCGTGACAAGGCTGCCTGGAGGCACTGCCTGGAGTTTAAGTGGGGACTTGGATGCCAATTCTTTCCATTCACTTTTCTCATTCTTTTAACAAAAACATCGTACAGCAGCCTTGCTAAGGGATGTGCCAGCCCCACTCAAAGAAAGAGTCCCTCTCCTGATGTAACAGCTAGGTCTCTTCTGTGCTCTAGAGATGCTCAATGTTTTCTGTGAAAGTTTTTTTCTAACAGGCTGATACTCCACTAAGCCTGTTCTTCACAGAAATAGCACTATTACCCTACATGAACCCCACTAAACTATAGGTAGTCTGCTTTGAAGAAGAGCTGAATGATTTTTCATTCTTCTTATACTTAGACAAAGTTGGAAAGCCAATGACCCTTTTTTAAAAATTTGATATTTTATTTACATTTCAGATGTCACCCTCCTTTTCCATTCCCCTCCCCCATTAATCCCCTATCCCATCCCTCCTCCTCCTTTTTTGCTTTTACACTGTTTAAATTACATGTAAGTATTAAGGTCAGTTCTAAGTTGTGGAACTAACAATACAATAGATGCAAATAGTCAAGGAACAAGGAAGACAATAAACCCAGATAGTCAAAGAACACCCATGACAATAAACAGAGTCTGGTGATCACTCCTGTGATCACTGTTTCTAAGGGCTTATCAGGATGACCAAAATATTTGAGCCTACTTCCCTGTCCTAGACCAAAGTCATTTTCAAGCCCGAAGCCTACTTCTTTGTTCTAGAGAACAAAGAAGAGACAGTTCCCGTTTCATTATTTAAAAAAATTAATGCAAATTTGCAAGTGTAATGTTTCAGTTGGGCAGGTGAAGTTACCAACAACATCCTCATACAAGCAGGAGGGGGATGGGATAGAAGGTTCCTGGGTGGGTGGGGGAATGGGGAAAGGAGATCACATCTGAAATGTAAATAAAATATCCAATAAAAAAAAAGAACAAGGGATGATGAATGAGTCAATCTGCTCGACTCAATAATTCCACATTGTATAAATAGGTATATATATATATATACATATATACATATATATATGTCAGAGACCAGGACCCCTAACAGGGACCCCTGCCAGCCTTCCCC